CCCCTCCTCCCCCTCTCCCATGTCCCCCCGGAACTGTCAGTCCCGTTGTTTTCTCCTCCAGATTGTTCATCCAGCCTGTCCTATCCAGACAGTCCAAGAAAGAAAGGTTTGTAGTTAGTTCAAGGATTGCTGGCCTTTAAGAGTGTTTTCCTGTCCAGCCTGTTGGGGCACCACGCCCTGTCCCCAAAGTCCACCCTCATCATTTCCTAGGGATCTTGCTGCTCCCCTCCCCTGCTGTTCTGCTGCACTCCCCCAGTGCTTTGCCTCAGTGTGGCGGGATCAGATCGGGTGCAATTCCCACACAGTGTCTCTGGTGTTGTCCCCCGCAAGGCCATGGGTCAGTGAGGGGCATCATGTCTCATACTGGGCTTGGCCATGTGGTCCTCTGTGTACTAGTTGCTCTAGTAATATTCTTTCTTATGACGAATCTGATATTAATATGTATAGCCATATCAGTTATTGTCTGGTATATCGTATGTATGGTAAATCCCTGTTCTTTTACTTTTTTTTAAAAAAGTATTTTATTGGGGGCTCTTAAAACTCATCACAATCCATACATCCATCCATTGTGTACATTTGTACATTTGTTGCTCTCATCATTCTCCAAACATTTGCATTCTACTTGAGCCCTGGGTATCAGCTCCTCATTTTTCTCCCCTCCCTCCTCACCCCTCTCCCTCACGAACCCTTGATAATTTATAAATTATTATTATTTTGTCATGTCTTATGCTGTCCGGCATCTCCCTTCACCCACGTTTCAGTTTGTCCCCCCAGGGAGAGGGTTATATGTAGATCCTTGTGACCGGTTCTCCCTTTCTACCCCACCTTTCCCTCATCCGGTATCACCACTCTCACCACTGGCTCTGAGGGGATCATCTGTCCTGGATTCCGTTTCCAATTCCTATCTGTACCAATGTACATCCTCAGGTCTATCCCGATTTGTAATCATTTGAAATTTTTATGACTAAGGATGTTCAGCAATTATCTGTCATCCTTTATCTTTTTAAATGTATCTTTTATTTTGCTTTTGGTGCAAGTGTCTACATTAAGTTAGGTTCCTTTTTGACCATTTTCACACAAATTGTTCAGTGACATTAGCTACAGTTTTCACAAGGTGTCATCATTTTCCTTAATTTTGTTGTTTGTTCCATGCTCAGTACTTTCATTCAGCTTCTCATTTTTGCTTTGCAGTAAAAGTTCATCTTTTCACATACAGTTAGCTTTTAGTAGAGTACTATCCTTACTAGTAATATCCTTTATTTTGTGTATCATTTTGCTGTTTCACTAAAAATCAATGTTGCTATTGTTTTGGTTCTGGGATTTGTGTCTCAGGACAATAGTCTCAGAGAGTCCTGTGCTGGTTTCAAATAGTCCAGTTAGTCTGCTGTTAAGAACTTGAGTTTTTCAACAACAACAGAAAGAATTTGAGTTTTCTAGCAAGCATTCTGGTTGTATTTCTTCTGAGAATGATTTGTTTGTTCCTTTGACTGCCCATGTTGTAATCAGTTTTACCTGCACCTTAGTTTGAGTGTGTTAGTTCTTCTGGCTTGTGTTTTTTTTAATCATCCAAAGTTTATGTGCTTATAAACTATTGGAAAGACCATGACTTGGGTTAGGCACACCTTAGTCATTGAAGTGACGCCTTTGCTTTTTACAACCGCAAAAGAAGCCTTTCTTTGCAGCACATTTGTTCAATATGAACATCATTTGATTTCTTGACTGCTGCTTCCTTAGAAGTTGGTTTTAAAGAGGTAACTACCGATGTATTACAAATAGAACCGAGCTTCATAGGATTTTTTTGACTGTTATCTTAAAGGAAATTTACAGTTTGTTCTTTTGCAGTGACATTAAAAACTCTCTGCCTTCAATTTGAGTCTTAAATAGGGTTTCTGAGGCATGTATGTTTAGCAGCTGATTATAAACGGATTGCCTCAACCAGACTGTCTAATTTTTCTACATTTATTAGAAGGACTTATCTCACCTTTGTGAAAAATGAGGTGATATACAGTATTTGTGTATGTAGTTCTGCACTGTCTTATTAGTGTAGCTTTATAATCTTGAAGTCTGTAAGATGTCTCTAAAGTTTGGAGGACTTAGTTCTTTTTCACAGATGTTTTAGCTCTTCTCTGGCCTTTGGGTTCCTATATTTTAGAATCAGCTTGTCAATTTTTACTAAAACTAACTAGTGGTCACTTAGGGGGGGGGATTAATATCTTCATGCTTTTAATTGTTGATTGTTCATTACTATCATATAGAAATGTAATTTTTAAATTTTGATCTAAATGATTGCTAAGCTTTCTGTGAAGGGCCAGATAGTAAATATTTTAGGTTTCGTGGACCTATTTGGAATGTCATCTTTTAAGATAGTTCTGTTTTATTAATGGATTGACTCCTCAGTTGTGCATGGAATCTTCAGGGGTTGAGGCTGCCGTAACATTTTTTTTAATTGCCCTGAAATCTAGTTGATAGGGATAATGCTACTCTAGTAGCTTCCTTCTGATCACTATTCATGTGGTATATTTATTTCCATTCTTTTACTTTTAACCTTTTATTCTTACAGATTTTTTGTTGTTGTTGACCATAAAGTTTGTGTCAACAAACATAGAATGTTTTTCCAATATTAGAATGATCCTTTGAAAATAAATCGGGTCATGTAATCCTACTGAAAAACTTTCTAGTCATTTTTTTGTTTTAGAGCAAAAGGCAAATCCTTACTATGCCCTACAAGACTGCAGCACTGTCTGCCTTCCTTATCCCCATGACCATCCCAGAAGCATTACAGGTGTGCTCCTTCATTTGAGCCTTTAGCCCAATGTAAATATCTCTGCTTATAGATACGCTTCCTCTAGAACAGTGGTTCTCAACCTTCCCAATGCTGTGACCCTTTCATACAGTTCCCCATGTTGTGGTGACCCCCCACCCCCAAACCATAAAATTATTTTTGTTGCTACTTCAGAACTATAATTTTGCTACTGTTATGAATTGTAATGTAAATATCTGACAGGGCATGATGTATTTTCATTGTTAAAAATTGAACCTAATTAAACATAGTGATTAATCACAAAACATTATGTAATTATATATTGTGAAATATTTATTTCTAATGGCAAATCAATGAAATTTTGTCTTGAAGCATGGTGTAGCATGGGTAACAGTCTTCACACTGCGTACTCCTGTATGGACATATCTGGATGTGGGCGAACCTGCCTGGAGACGGATAGAGGAGCGGTGTCGCGATTCCTAAGACCATTGGAAATGGGTGTTTTCCTATGGTCTTGGGCGACACCTGTGAAAGAGTTGTTTGACTCCCAAACGGAGGGGTTGTGACCCATAGGCTGAGAACCGCTGCTCTAGAATCTAGATTTCTAGAATTCCGTTTCCTAAACTAATTTAGCATGCCACCTCCTTTTCAGAAAAAGAAAAATTACTCAGTGCCTGCCTGTCTCTATACAAAACAAAAAATCTTTTGTACTATAGCTCACAATGCAGGAAAAAGTGTGTCTGATTTTGTAGCTGCCCTGGATTGTTCCAGTGCCTCCACGGGCTGGGTATGACTGGGAAACACTGCTTAGATGTCTGCATGGCTTATTTCATCATCATCTTCAAATCTTGGCTTAAGCAACCTTTCTTATTGAAATCTGCCTTGACAACCTTAAATAAAATTGCTACCTTTTACCTCCTGTATCACTTCTGATTCCCTATCCAAAGCATTTATCACATAACATACTTTTGGTTTCTCAATTAGAATGTATGATAACTTGAAAGCTTGTGTAAATTGAGGAAATACAGTAATCACTGAGTCATTACTCAGCCTTAATGTTTATGAACTAGGATCTTGCTAACCTTGGGACATGCCATATCTTTATCTTTTATTCAAGCCCTTTAAAAAGCCATTTTATGGTAAAATGAAACCTACAGAAGAATACACAATGTGGTTATTATGATTTAAGGCAAACACTTAACTTTTGCAAATAGTTCTAATTTCTTAATTGTTTTGCTTTTAGAACTTTTAATTTTGCAGTAACTTGGGTCCTGAGTACTTTATTTAGCTCTATATTGTGTATTAGATGTTTCTGCTGTAGGTATAGTTGATGGTAATTTGAATTATTCCTGATCACTTATAAAAGAGTGGGGCGTTGTTCTGCCTTCTTTTCGTTGGCTTTTTTCCTAGCCTTGCATCCACACACTGATAGTACTTAGGCGAAGACAGTAGTTCTTGAGGTTTCTTTCTGTAGCCTTCCTTTTTGGAACTTAACTCTGCTACTGCTAACTCCCCTAACTAAATTTTGGACTGCTTTCTCAACTGTTGGACTCTTTGGGTTCCTTTTGTGTTGCCCATGCTTGGGAATTACTCTCAGGAAGTCAGCTGGACAATGAGAAGACTTCATTTCTCTCTATGTTCAGTGTCTTTCATTCTATTGTCCAAAAACATTTACTTATGTTTGATCCGAGTATTAGTTGAATACAGGAGAGTTGCTTTCTGTTACTCTGTAAAAGGTTGAAACAAAAGGACCTACTTAAAAGATGGTTGTAGTTTCATCATACTGAATATAATTGGAGATGAGACCAATGTTTTATGTTTTGCATTATAGGAACAGAAAAAGAAAGAGAAATTGGAGAAGAAAAAGGAATCTTTAAAAGATACAAAGGTATTTTAAAATAAAATTACCTGAAATACTGAAGAAATTTTGTAATATTATGACCTTTTTTAAATGTTTACTGCATTTGCTTTGATAACCTATCAGTGTTTATATTAAAAGGTACATAAAAATTCTCAATTTTTAGATAATGGAAAGAGACATGTGACTTTCCATCAGTTCCTTTTCTGTGGACTGTATCTGGTTCATTTCTTCTAAGAACATAATGATTACTATTTGTACTTTACATTTCTACCCTCATCATGTAAATAGCTGTTTTGAATCTTAACAATAACAGCAGTCTGTTTCTTGCCTGAAGCTTTAACGTAGGGCCAAATGAGAATTCTTGATTTATCTGCTAATAAAATTTTAGACAATAGTATATTCATCTATGGACAGCTTGGACTTCAAGTGTGATTCTTTTGGAGATTGTTTTAAGGTGAGGTGAGACTATTTAATGCCCTGATGGGAATTGTCTAAATAATAGTTGTGCTGTTGAAAATAGAAATAATAAAGATCACATTTATTGAGTATTTGGGTATAGTAGGATTTGTGAAAACCAGATTATGTATAAGATTGAAATCTGTTAAAGAAGAAAAACTCAATATTTTCCACTAAAATGAGTGATAGAAAAGTATTAAGGTTCCACTCGTTAAAAATGGGAAATTGGAGAGGCCCAGAAAAATAAGACATTGTTGTTGACTTTTAGCTCGACTTTCCCCAGGTTTCATTGTACTCTGTTCTCTTCTTTCTGTTAATTCTCTGAGTGGTGCTACTAGGACTGTTACTGTCTCCGTTTTATGTACAAAGGTGTTTCTGCAAGAGAGAAAAAGTAACTTGCTCAAGATCACTTATCTTATAAATAGTATGATGATTTAAGCTCAGGAACCCTCTTAGTTACAGAGCCTGCATGTAGCTTCTACATGACGACACTGCTTTGTTGTGAAATGACAGTGCTGAGAGTTACAGGGTATAGGATGTATCTTTACTTTTAAGTCCAGTTACTTGATTCTTAGATTAAGTGGTGGGGTTAACAATACCGGATAATTGGATGTTATAAGAGGAATTGTAGAATTCTTTATTAGATACTGCTATTATTTGACCCAGTGCCGATTGGTTTTTTGAAAAACATATTTAAGGTGATTATTCTACTTAGTTATTTATGCATTATTCATTATCCTGTTAATGCAGCCTGTGCTAAATTTATACTAGGATTTATTTTTCTCATGTTTTAGAAGTGTCAGTAAATTCTGCTTATTTTCTTACTAGGACATTTGATATTTTCATTTTTAATGCTCTTAATTTTTTAATTATCCTATTCTATTTATTTGCCAGTTTATCAAACTGTCTAGCAATTTTTTCCCCAGTGTTCCCTCCCAGTTGCAATTCTTTCTTTTTAATAGCAATTCTTGATATAGTATTCATCCATTTTTCTCTTGGAAATTTCTTTGGGGGGGTAGGGTAGGGACTTTTCCTTTAACTTTTTTTTTCTTCCCCTTAGCACCCTCTAACTAATACCTTTATCTTTTATTTTTACTTACTTAAAATGAATATTCCTTACATATGATGCACACTGAACGTTACTTAGCATTAATTTACAGTTACAAAGATATGCGTTGTAATTTAAAAATAAAATTCTCTTCTATATGTTTAATTTTATAACTTTCTCTTCCTAAGTGAAAAGAAAAGGAAAAAAGTAGAGCCTTTGTATTATATAGTGAGGAATTAATAGAAAAATGCTACATGAAGGTAAATAATAAAACTACAAATGGAGCATTTATGTATGTCAAGTTAATCAATGCCTTTAAATATGTAATACCAAAGGGTCTTAGAAAAAGTAATGTTCTAAATCCTTATTTTGCAGGGTGAAAATTCAGTTGATGGAAGTGAAGAGAGCCCAGGTTAATTTCCTTCCAGTTTTGATTATTGCTTATCTTTATGGTTTAATTTCTATCAAAATGAAAATTTGCATATTTTTTACAGTCATGAAGAAGAAAAGAGGAAGAGAGGACGAGTCATACAATATTTCAGAAGTCATGTCAAAAGAGGTAAAAAATAGGGCGAGGCCACATAAGATTAATATTTCATAAAAACCTATGGATTTTTAACATTTATTTTGTAGTACAGTGAACCCTCGCCACTTCGCGCTTCAACTTCCGCGGCTTCACTCTATCGCGGTTTTGGCGTAACAGCGCATGCTCTGTCATTACTGCCGCTGATTGGCTCATACTGTACACGCTTGATGCCATAAATAATATAATAAATAATAAATGATAATTGTAACGTCCAAAATGTTTTACTGTATTTTCCCTTTTTCATTTAATAAATTGGGTAATATGAGTGTAATGGTGACTAAAGGGTGTTTTTTCATGTCCTCTATGCTCTAACTACGAAAATGTTTGATTTACAAATAAGGAATCCTACTTCGCGGAATTTCATTTATCACGGTAGGGTCTAGAACCGATTAACCGCGATAAACGAGGGTTCACTGTAAATATATAGGTGACAGAACATGCCATTTCAGCCATCTTCACATCGATAGTGCAGCAACATTAAATATGTTCATATTTAACCATCACTAATCCTTAATTTTTATGTTGCCCTCAACAGAAGCTCAGTGTTTCCTACCTATTGTGGGTTTTCGACACTCTTAAAGCTTCAAGAATTGTTGCTATTTGGCCTTTTCAGTGTGTTACAGAGCCTTCTATTTTCTGTTGTTTATGTATAAATATAATTCTGAGATTATTTTAAAATCATCCACAAATACATAAAGTTAGGGAATTTGAGGTAGATTCAATGAATTTTGAAACCAATATTACAAAGCCTCAATTATAAGCTTAGGGGATATGTACATATACAGATCCTTGGTGGCACTATGAGGTCAGCATTGGACTGCTAACTGCTAGGTTGGCAGTCAGATTCACAAAACACTCTGGGGGAAAGTTGAGGCTGTTTCCTCTGGTACAGATTTATTGTCTTGAAACCCCAAATAGGGTCACTATTGATTAGATGGTGGTAGATGTTTTAAAAGTTTTTTGATTCATCTTTTCTTAGAGAAAATTTCAAACATAAACATTATAAAATTTTAAACAATAAGTCTAGAGGATCGTATATTGAATTACCTAATGCCCAATTTTAGCAGGTTCAACTTTTTCTGCCCTTATTTTTCTATACCCTAAATTGCTTTAAAGTAGTTAGATCCCTGCATCATTTCATTGCATTATAAATATTTTTTATGCAGCACTAGCAAGAACTATTTTTAAAAAGTAATCACAATATAATTGATGCATTAACATTTCTTATCAAATTTACCAGTAAGCTCACATGTTGACACATTTTTTTTTCTTCTATAATTGTTTGATTTAATTGAGGCTAAATTTTTAACAAGAATACCCCATAGAGGGTGTTGGGTTTATATGGTATGTTTTATTCTTAAATTATCATTCAAAAAGATTCTATTTACCCAATAAAAGAAATTGGCCATCAGTCCTCTATATGAAATCCTAACAGCCCAAGAATATGAGTATCTTTGTTGAGAGAGACACGTGTACATGATTTTCAACCACTTGCTGGCACATTCTGTTATTCTTTTGCATCTTTTTTTTCCTTGTGTATCTTTTTTGCAATAAGGCTGAAGTATGTATCCTTTTCCATCATCTTTGCCCTTCACACATACTGAACTTTTGTGATCAAGCTCTAATGGCAAATTTCTCTGACAAATACATTTAATGTAGCAGCTCACCTAAGTCACCTCTTCCTCAAGACTGGAAATTCAGGTATTTATAAAACCAGTCTTGAAGTGGGTAGTTTGCCTGTAATACATTTGAAAATGAATTTTTAAATAAAGGGCAAAATCACAAGAGCTCTACAGCAAGGAATGTCAAACTTCCTCAAAGGAACAGATTGAGGACTTCAAATCACTCACAGAACAATGATTTTTAAAGATAATAGAATTTTCTCAAGAAGCTACTGAACTTTCTTAGTAACAAGTTTTCTGCATAGTATATCATACCAGATCTGTCACAACTACGTCATTTTGAACTATGCAGTTATTGTGAGAAAGCAATCATAAACAAGTGACCTTGGCTTTGTTCATTTAAAGTGTATTTGCAAAAACAGCCTGCCTGCTAGATTTGGCCCGTTGACCAGTGTGACAATCACGATAGTACTAGGACAAGAAGTATTAAAGGCACAGTGAATATATAATCTCTGGATTGCTTATTGAAAGGTTTGAATCCAGCACGTACGTCAGAGTAGAAAGACGTGACTGTCTGCTTCCATTAAAATTTACCACCTTGGAATCCCTAGTCTTGACCTGGAGGGTTGCTGTGAGTCAGAATTAACTCAAGGGTAGTGGGATAGTATTTAAGATTGTTTTGCCCTGTGAATTTAGGCTTTACCTGGTCTAACTTTGGTTTAAAACAAACACCTGGAATGTCCAGGTTTTTGTGGAAACGTCTTCCTAACAAATTCAGAGTTTTATAAAAGGCTGTGAGCCAAGCATACATGTTACAGACTTGATTTTGCCGAACAGCCAAAGGTCAAGACCTCTATACTGCAATTGCCTTGAGCTTTATCCCCATTTTCTGGCATAAAATCAGAAGAAAATAACCTTGTTGAGTGAACAAATTGAATAAAACTCATACACCTTTTTTCCCCCACAATAGGAAATTTTGTCTGTGGCTAAAAAATGTAAAAAGGAGGATGAGGTAAGAGATTTATAATATAAATTACATTTTAGCATTGTATTTGCTTCCTTGGTCATTTGTACCTTGCAATCATTAGTGCATATCATTTGCCTTTCTATTTTAAACCATTTCTTTCTTAACCACATATTATCTGATTGGATACCGTTTTTTTTATTAATTTACATGTGCCATGAAAAAATACGTGTATTTTTGTATTGTCTAAGAATGATGCAAATGGTTATAAATGTTTTTTTTGTTATTTGTTAGGGAGCCTATCATGTCTCTGGTCTAAGAGATTTTCATTGGTTATGTTTTCTCATGTTATGAAAATATTATCTGAATATGCATTGAACAGTATTCACTGTTCATGTCCTTATAATTAAAAAGGGAACTAAAAACTCCATAACATAAATTTCACTAGTAAAAAGCAATGTCAAGAATTTATTAATATATCAGAGTAATAGGTCTTTGGGAACATTGAAGGCATGGTTATAGATGGTAGTAGTCTATTTGGCTATTATATAATTTTGTACAGAGTTTATACCTTAAAATTGCTTTTATTTTCATTCGTTTTTCAACGTAGCAATTACTTTGGTAACATTTATAAACTATGTTGTCATAAAGAATGTAAGATTAAGCAAGCTATTTTTTATAATATTAACATTTTGAAAGATAAAGCCTAAATCTACCCAAATCTACCATTACTTACTGCAGAATTTTGGCCTAGTTTTAAGAGATTTATACTTTTACATTATTTTAAGCAGATACTTTTTTTTCTAAATACTTTTATTGGGGGCTCTTACATCTCTTATCACAATTCATACATTCCTCCAATGTGTCAAGCACATTTGCACATATGCTGCCATCATCATTTTCAAAGCATTTTCTTTCCACTTGAGCCCCTCATATCAGCTCCCCATTTCTTTTCCCTCTCTCCCCCGAGCAGATTCACTTTTAAATAAAAGTAAGATAGAGTAAGATCTCTATTTGCAAAGTTCCTGAGATTTCTTTATTTCATAATCTGAATATTGGAGGCCTTTCAAAGAAAAAAATTTTTTGGTTATTTTTTTCTTCTATTTAACAGCTAATTGATAAATTTTACTTGATTAATGTACAGGTTTTAATTGTTAATTTGGACAAATGTGTATATATGCACCTGTGTAATCACCATTCAGTTCAAAGTATAGAACATTTCCCTTTTGAAAGGGTACAATCCCTTTCCATCATTTCTTCATTCCTGCATTCAGAGGCACCTGCTCTCTGATTTGTATCATCAATTGGTTTTGCTTGCTCTATACTTCCCATAGTTAACATATAAGTTTGTGGTATTTTATTTTCTGCTTAACTTAATAAACATATCTGATAATAATTTATGTTATTAAAATAGTTGTCTTTGTTTGATTTGCATCTCTTGAATGGCTAATGATCATGAGCATTTCTTCATATGTTGGTCACCTGAATGTCCTCTTTGGTAAATTGTCTGTTCATGTTCTCTATACATTTTTAAAATTCAATTATTCATACTTGCTTGTGGTATTGTGGTTTTCTATAGATTTTAGAGATTACTCTCTTGATACATATATATCAGTGTCCCCCCGACCCCCGCCTTACTCTTTTGATGAACACAGTGTCTTATGTTTAGATCTGTCATGTATTTGCCTTTTGATGTTTGTTTTTTTCATTATGTTTAATAGTGCGTTTAAGCCATGTACTAGGACCCTTAAAACTGCCCTTATTTTTTCATTGGTGATCTGTAGAGTTCTAGGGTTTGCATTTAGGACTTTAATCCATCTTGAGTCTTCATCATCACACATTTTTCTGTAGGGGCTAACTCAAAGTTTATACTTTTTCACTTGACTAGTGTACTAGGATCATTTTTAGCTGACCCTTTTCCTGTACTGAAAGTGATTCTTTGATGAAAGTTTTTTTTTGGTGGACTTTATTGCTAGGAAAGTTTTTATTTTAAGATATTTGGGGGTAGCACATTTTAGGAGTTGAGTAGTTGGAAGGGAAAGGTAATTTCAAAGGTCTTTCTAAAAAAGAGTATTATGCCTCATGATTGTTTTGATCTATACATGTTATTCTTGGAGGAAAATTAATAACTTTATTAATAGGATAATAGAGATAACCACAAAGGTTTCTTTGTTATAGGACTGAGCTAATTTTAATTAGTGATATTTTCTGATAAATTGGGGGTAAAGAGTGACTGCAGTAAGTACAAATTTGTAAGTAAACTTTCTTTTTATAGGAGGAAACCTCATCTACTAATCTATGCGTAGAAGATCTTCAGAACAATAAAGATTCAAATAGCATCATTAAAGACAGATTATCTCAAACTGTAAGACAGAATAGTAAATCATTTTTTGACCCAGTTCGGAAATGTGATGGACAGCCAGTACCGTTTCAACAACCAAAACACTTCACAGGAGGAGTGATGCGGTGGTACCAAGTAGAAGGAATGGAATGGCTTAGGGTAATGAATGGTCATACTTGATGTATGAGTTATTTTGGTATTAGTCTGTTAATAAGAAATTATGACTTGTCATTCCTTCTTTGCTTTTCTGTTATCTCTAAAACAAACACTTGGTTGTAGATACCTTTTATTTTCTGATTTCTTTATTCAAAGTGAAAATAACTTTTAGATATTTAAATAGTGTTTTATGATTTATTTGAGGTGGCTAACCAGTTTTAATTTCAAGAGTACAATGTTTTCCCAATTAAGGGATATAGCCCATCAGGGAAATTTCATCATATATACATCTCCCTTCCCTTAAAAAAAATTGTAGCCCCCGGAGTAAATTTGTGGAGGTAAAATATTGTCAAACAATCTAAAGGCTATTTAGATTGTTATTGCTTTGATAAAGTACTTTCTAAAAGTGTTGTTAGAATTTATGATGGTACCAGGAGTGTATAAATACGCCCTTCTCACAATTATCTTTGGGTTTCATTTTTAAAAAGAAATGAGCTATTCTGTATATTTACTAAATACAGTGCCTTGTTTTGTCCAGATGCTATGGGAAAATGGTATTAATGGCATCTTAGCTGACGAAATGGGGCTGGGAAAGACAGTTCAGTGCATTGCTACAATTGCATTGATGATTCAGAGAGGAGTACCCGGACCTTTTCTTGTCTGTGGCCCATTGTCTACACTTCCTAACTGGATGGCTGAATTCAAAAGATTTACTCCAGAAGTAAGACATTTCATTGTGTTAAAATAGTGTTTCGTATTTAACTGGCATTAAATTAGAGATCTCCCACTTTAATGATGCTGTTTTTAAAATTTTGCTGTTTAAAGTTAAATATTGCACCTTATGATCTAGCTTCCAAACTGAGCCATATCTTACTTTAAATCAGAGGTTCTCAACCTGTGGGTCACGACTCCTTTGGGGGGCGAATGACCCTTTCACAGGAGTCACCCGATTCATAGCAGTAGCAAAATTACAGTAATGAAAATAATTTTATATTTGGGAGGTCACCACAACGTGAGGAACTGTATCAAAAGGTTGTGATATTAGGAAGTTTGAGAGAACCAGTGCTTTAAATTGACTTAGAAGAATGAACACTGATATATTGCCAAAATATCTTTAGATGATTTTCTGTGCCCGTGAATACTTTACCTGAAATCCACAAATACTTCACCTGAAATAGATGTGTTTAAAAAAACAGATTCTCTTTATTCGCATTTGGTGGGGTTTGTTTTGCTGGTAGGAGGTGTTGGGGTAGAGGAGCTGCTAACCACAAAGCCTGTGGTTCCAGCTACAGAAAGGTAAAGCTGTTTGCTCCCACAAAGATGTATGCTCCTAGAAACTTTATACGGTTGCTGTATTTTGAAATGGCCTCAGTGACAGTGGGTTTAGGTATACACGTTATCTACCCTTGCCTTAATAAGTAAATGAAATTTCAAAAATAGCATCTCTATCTGCTTCCATAGTTGAGAGTTGTTTGTTTTTATGACTTTTTGTTTTCTTTCATTCACAGTGATGTGTTAGACCAATTTGACACATTGTTGGAGAAAAATAGAAATAAGATTTAAGTTAAATTATTATTTTTTCAGAAAATGACCTGTTATTTTTTTCTAACTACTTGACACTTATATTCTGTTTGTTATAAATATATATCAAATTATAGATTCCTACTATGTTATATCATGGAACTCAGCAAGAACGTCTAAAATTGGTAAAACATATTTACAAACGGAAAGGGACGCTGCAGATTCATCCTGTGGTGATCACCTCATTTGAAATTGCTATGAGAGACCGAAATGCATTACAGGTACAAATGGTCTTCATTGCTTTCTCTGCAGATCTTACTTTCCTTAATTCAGTCCACTTTCTCATTGTCCAGTAACAGTTTTCAAAAAATTTCTGATGGATTATGTACTTTCTTTACTGACTGGAGACTGACATGGATGCTGCCATCCAGCAATAAAATTAAAGTCTGGCACTGTAATCCATAGCCATACGATTTATAATGGAAACAACCAGGTGTTGACCTAACTTGTGAATTTATTATAGACATCTATTTAGTATAGATGTACTTATGGCATTTGTTTTATGAATTAAATTTATTCATTTGATTTATTTTAATCTAATAAGGATAGAATATTTGCAGACAGGTATTTTAGATTCTAGCTTACAGAGCTGTCAGGTGAAGCTTCTATATATTTTTTATTTGCTTACTTATCTTAATTTATTAATGTCCAAATGTTAATAAGAAAATAGACTTTACTGTCGTTGCTTCTTGCAAAGTCATTTACTGATGTTTTGAATTTTTTTTGATCTACCTATTTCATAATGGGTAGTAGATCTCTACTGCTTTGTTTTCTTTTGCTGAGCATGTGCTCCGTCTTACTGAGTGCAGTCTTCTATGGAAACAGGAAAATCATGGCTTCCATATAAGATAAAAAACATTGGTCAAAATATATATGTGACTTACATAACTAGTATTTCGTAGAACTTTAGAATATGGTGTGCAGAAATCTTAGCTAATGAGGTTAACAAGGAATTTACAATTATGTGTAACTTTCAAAAATAAACTGTTTCTTAGTAATAAAGATCTATTGCTTGTAGAAAAAAGGTCAAAAATAAACACTTGTAATTATTTGAGAAATAATTCCTATTAAGACATAAGCAAAAAAAAAAGACAAGCATAATTTATATATAGGATCGTTGTATATATTTTTCTATGTGGTTCCATATTTTTGTACTCAGTACTATTATACGAAGGAATTTTCTGTTATTTTGCTCTCATATTGAGACTACCTTTGATAATGCTTCCTTGTCAATTCCATTTATCACTAGTTTGAATTTTTATAGTATGTCTTATTGTTGAGCTTATACTGTCATATTGATGACTGAAGCTTTAGCAGGTAATAGGAGCGGAAGTGTATGGTCCTGTTTTTAGTGCTGCCGAAGGGAGCACTATGTGGTCTTATTTTGTGTGGCACCAATAATATTAGAGCCCATAAATTTGTTTTGCAGATTCATTATCATTTGTTTCCTAGATTTCTCTTTCATTTACATGTAGAGAATGTTTAAATATTTTCAGAGAAAAAAAAAAGAAACATTTCCTAAATTGATGCAGTAGATTGTACAAAAGTTCTTGATATGAGCAGACTATTGAGTTGTATGATATTTCAATAAAACTATTTAGAAAGGAGGGAGAACAATTGTGAGGATGGTGCAGGGCTGGGCGGTGTTTGTTCTTAGCGTCCCTGTGAAGTGGGAACTAACTCGACAGCACCTAATGACAGCAGCAGCAGCAGCCCTCGATCATCTCACAAACAAGTCCCAGCCAACCGCTGTCCATGGCATCTCTGAGTACAAGTCTTGAATTGAGAATGTGTTCAGGTTTTTGTGTTGCCATATTGCCCGAATCATAAGTTTCTTACACATAATTTTCTATTATAGAGGTTACATATATTTTTAATCATTCTGCACATTCTGCATGAGAAAGCTTTGCTTTGAGTAAAGCAAGATTATGGACAAATCTTAAATACAGGTGGACTCCAAAATTTCAATGATTGTTTAAATCATTAAATCCTCACTGTCCTCCAGTCGATTCCAATAACACTAGATTCCATCAGTTACTATTTGACGTTTTCAAGGCAGTTCTGGCTCATAACAACTCTGTATGTGTGCGGTGTTTAAGCTCATTGTTGCAACCAGTGTTAACCCATGTAATGAGGCTCTTCCTATGTTTCCCTGGCTCTACCGAGCCTGATATGTTCACATGTGCAGAGTAGTTGTCACGAAGTCTCCCCAGCCTCACTTCTAAGGAACATTTAGACTATACTTCAAAGACACATATTTTTTTCTTTAAGCAGTCAATGCTATATTGAATAATCTTCATTAACATTATAGTTCAACTACATCAGTTCTTTCATTGTCCAATTTTTGCTTGCTTATGAGGAAATTGAAGACATCATCGTTTGGTTCAGGCATAGCTCGGTCTTCAAAGTGAAGTGGCATCTTTATTTCTTTAACGCTTTAAAGAGATCTTTTCTGGCAGATTTGTCCATTGAATATGTCATTTGATTTCTTGACTGTTTTGCTTCCATGGGTGTTTTGGGTATCCAAGTGAAAGGAAAGTTTTACAGAAGGTTGTCATTCAATCAAATAACCGTCCCAATAGATTTGGGTGTAATTTCTATAATTCAAAATCCAACCCTTAGTTAAAGACAAAAGATTTAATTTCAGAGCTGTTTTCAGGCAGAATTATGAAATATTTAAATTTTTCCCTCAATTCATTTTCTAGCATTGCTATTGGAAATACTTAATAGTAGATGAAGGACACAGGATTAAGAACATGAAGTGCCGTCTTATCAGGGAGTTAAAACGATTCAATGCTGATAACAAACTTCTTTTGACTGGTACTCCCTTGCAAAACAATTTATCAGAACTTTGGTCATTGCTAAACTTTTTGTTGCCAGATGTATTTAATGACTTGAAAAGGTAGGTAAGCCAGTTATTTAAACTGTTTTCTATATGTTTTTGAGTTGCTCAAAAGGTTTCTTCTCAAAAATTCTTCTTTGCTGTAATTAATTTCTTCTAGGTAGATGAATTAAAATGATATGCTTATAGCAAGTTCTTATGGTATATATTTTACGTTTCACTTTTGACAGTTTTGTGAGAAGCAATTAATACAGAAGATTTTTTTTCCTCAGAAGATTAAGTTTATTTTGCATTGACTTATTAAACTATTACATAGTACCTCAGAATCTTTGTTTTATTCCTGGAAAACAAACTGGTAGACAACTGTATGAAATTATGCCCTGTCTCCTACATGGAAACAGATTTAAAGTTATTGAAGTCTGTAACTAGCTACTGCCAGAACCAAAATGAAACCAAGGTTTAATTTGGTTCTTTCATTTCCAACTGGTTTTTCTTTTTTCTTATGGAAACGGTTTTTATCATTTTGTAACAAAAATGTTTTCCAAAACTATTATGTGCAGAAAGGATGAGAGAATATGAGCAAAAGTTAGGATAATTCAGATGGGAAAATAATAAATTCTGGAGATAAGAATAGTTGTACTTATTTGATTATCAATGAAGGAAGAAAGCCAATTAGATTTCCAACCTATTCTCATATTCTGTGTCAAAGCCAGGATGCCTTTTTTGTACCTATAGGATCTTTAATTAAGGTCAAAATTTCCGAGCTCCACCCCAGACCTCATTAATTAGAAATCAAGATAGGAACTTGAACTCTAAATTTAAAAAATACGATGTATGTGAAGATGATGCAGAAATTTGGGTCCTGTCTATTTCCAATAAATGCTAGCATTTATGAAAGGCCTGGTTATCTAATTGCTTAATTGAAAATATTGTGGAGAAGAGTGCTACTTTCTCTGACATGGGGTCACCTAAATTTGTATCCATCATGGATTTTGATTTTGGTGTAGTATAGACTTCTACGTGATTTTATGAAGATAAATAAGAAAATACTGCTAATAATATTTCTATTTCATACACATGGGTTTTTCCCAAACAAAACAAGTTTATATATGAATAATCAGTGTTAGTCTCGCTAGGATGCCTTTGAAAAACAAAACAAAATGGGTAATTTTTATACCTTGGAGTGATTTTGGAGTTATGCCCAATAAAATTGAAATCAACATCTTCCAAAATCATTGAAACTTGGTGCCAAATTTACAGATATGCTGCCCTCATAAAACGCTTAAAGAAACAACACTTTTTAGATGGAATAAGCATTTATGGAAGGTTAAAAAGATGGAGATTTGCAAGAGGAGTCAGCTCATTAAGTTATAGTAACTTTTTTGATGGGGGAATTCTAAAGGAACAGCCTTGATAGATTTTCTAAAAGGAGGCCAGATGAACACAGAACTGAATATAAAATTTCTTTAGCAAGAAATTTGAGGAAAATTAAGACCCCTGGTGATGTAGTGGATTGATTATGCATTAGACTCCATGGGAAAAAGATAAAGCTTTCTGTTCCCATAAAGGTTTACAAACTTAGAAACTCTAATAGGTAGCTCTACTCAGTCCTATAAGGCTGCTATGAGCTAGAATCAATTGGATGACAATGGATATTCATTTGAGGGAGATTAAAAATTGTATTGGTGAAATAAAATTTAAGAAAGTTCTGAGAATTTTCCCCATCATGACAATGTACCTACCTAACTCTTTAAGGGTATAGCAAAGACAACCTACGAGGATTTTGTTGGAAACCTTACCCCATCATCCATCCTACAGACTTGACCTTAACCCTTCAGAATTTTTTTGTTCTCCAAATTCAGTTAAAATTCAAAGGTACACAATTTTGAGTCCATGAAAGATGCTGCAATGGCAGTTTTTAGGTAGAAACAATCAAAGAGCCCAGAATTATTTAGGGACATTTCAAGATAAAGAAACAACCACCTTCAGAGGCGTATAGACTAGATAGAAATTGTCAAGAAACAATAGCTTCTTATGTTATTTATGATTCCTATGAATTTTGAAATAATACTTCTTAATTGCCCTGGTATTTAAGTGCTTATTTCTCCAGTATTTATGATGGGAAGCAAAGATACATAGATGTTTTTAAGCAACGTTTGTGTAAAACATTTTTGTAGTATACCTATAGAAACAGACCATATGGCCTTTGTTTTCAACAGTTCTCCCTTTTATTTTATTGGAATGTTTCATAAAATATATTCCTTAATGCTTAGTTTTGCTTCAAAACGTGTAGTTCCTTTGAATAGGTTCTTTTAAGTCTAAATAAATTTCAGTTAACTAATTTAATCTTATGATAAGGTATGATGGTATCCCTGAATCATATTATGCAGATTAATGTAAAATAAAAATGTAAAACATCATGTTGATATTGTTGAAAATATGTGATAGGTTAATTTATGATGTTTTTTTCCTTTCTAGCTTTGAATCTTGGTTTGATATCACTAGTCTTTCTGAAACTGCTGAAGATATTATTGCTAAAGAGAGAGAACAGAACGTATTACATATGCTGCACCAGGTTTTTACTTTTTCGTATTCTCTATTTACTTTTGGCTTATAGAATGAGAAAAGAACATTCACCCCTATGAAAAAATGACCGCATCCATACATTTAGCTTATCCTTCCCCTGTTGACAGAGATTATATGACTCGTGCTTATTCTTTTTTTACTTTTTCATTTATAATCATTTTCTCCCTGATGATTACTGTCTGTTGTGTCTATAAGTCAAAAAATGGAAATGCATGTTTTTATGCATTGTTTGACAATATTTGTATTATAATTACTTCCCCACATGGTCCATGTATAATCGGTTATCTTAGATATGAGCAGGCTTCAAAGAGTCCATGGGATACTCAAGGAAAGAGGAAGGCTTAATATTATGAGATTAGTAATACTAAAATCGATCTCTAAATAGAACAATGCCCATTCAGAACCTAGTACCATTTTTTAAAGACATGGAAAAACGAATGGCTGTTATATGTTATGTAATTGTATATGGAGGAGAAAGAGAAGCAGAAGAAGAAATGCCTTACTTAGGGAGAGTGATGTAAGAGTCCTCTCACTTCTTGAACTCAAAACCTTACCCAGCCTCGATAGTCAAATCAGCCTGGTACTGGTATAACAGTAGACCAATGGAACCGAGTAGAAGCCCATCAATAAGTCCATACACCTACAGACAACTGATCTTTGGGAAAAGATTTAATTACAACAAATGGTGCTGGCAGAATTGGAATTGCATTTGCAGAAGAATGACACAGGACCCATTCCTCACCTTGTATACAATAACAAACAACGTGGATTAAAGACCTAAATGTAAATCTTATAACCATAAAGATCATCGATCAGAAAGTGACAAACTTAAGGACGCCCCTGTACATGGCAAAAATACACTACCAAACAGTAAAAGTAAGCCACAGCATGAATGGACATATGCATAACCATATTAACTGCAGCAGCACTGGTATTCACATTAGCAAGAAGATGGAAACAACGTAAATATTCAACAGTGGAAAGAATGGATGAATAAACTAGTTCTTTTGGTGTTCAGGCTTATAGAGGCTGATGATCGTGGTGTATGGGTCCATTGGACTAATCGTTTCCAAGTATCTTCAGTTGTTTTCACTCTTTGCTCTAGATGGTAAGGTACAAGTAGTTGTGCCTTAGATGTCTGCTCATAAGTTGTTAGTTACCTGATATGAATGTAGAGCATTGTCTTTGAACTCTGTAGTATGCCAGTTGACCGTTGTACTCCTCCCACTGCATTGCACCCTACTCCCCAATAATCCTGAGCCTTGGACCAGTGACTGAGATTGTTTAGTTATGCCTAAGGAAGAGATTGGTAAACTTTTTGTTACATCTATTTCATGACATTTTAAAAAAAGAATTGTTCTTTTAAAGACATGAAAACAGACTGAGATATTCACATATCAATGTTCATTGAAGCACCGTTTCCAGTAGCCAAAAGATGAAAACAGCTCGTGTCCATTATGGATAAACAAAATGTGGTACAACCATACAATGGAATGTTATCAAACATAAATTGAAATAAAGTGTTGATATAGCCCATGACATAGCAAACTTAAAAATACATTATGCTGAGTGAAGTAAGTCAAAATACAAAAGGACTGGTATTGTATGCTCCTTATGGAATGGAAAAATGTACAGAGGCCAAAATCTATTAGTGGTTAGGACATCCAACAACATTGAATGTATTCATTATCTGGAGCCATCACTGTTGGCTGTAAATCTTTTTTTACCATTTTATTGGGGGCTCTTAACAGCTCTTATTACAATCCATATATCTATTGTGTCTAGCACATTTGTACATATGTTGCCACCATCATTTTCAAACATTTTGTACTCAAGCCCTAGGTTTTAGCTCATTTCCCCCACCTTCACTTTTTTTTGGGAAATCATTTTATTGGGAGCTCTTACAGATATTATAATAATCCATAAATCAATTAGACCCAGCATAATTTTTTAATCGTTTTATTAGGGGCTCATACAACTCGTATCACCATCCATACATCAATTGTGTAAAACACATTTTTACATTCATTGCCCTCATCTCAAGACATTAACTCTCCACCCAAGCCCCTGGCATCAGATCCTCAACTTTTCCCCGCTCCCCCCTCCCTCATGAACCCTTGGTAATTTACAAATATTACTTTGTCATATCTTGCACTGTCCGACGTCTCCCCGTCTCCCTTTACCCACTTTTCTGTTGTCCGTCCCCCAGGGAGGAGGTCACATGTAGATCTTTGTAATTGGTTCCCCCTTTCCAACCCACCCACCCTCTATCCTCCCAGTATCGCCAATCACACTATTGGCCCTGAAGGGTTCATCTGCTTTGGATTCCGTGTTTCCAGTTCCTACCTGTACCAGTGCACATCCTCTGGTCTAGCCAGATTTGTAAGGTGGAATTGGGATCATGATAGAGGAGGGGAAGGAAGCATTTAGGAACTAGAGAAAAGTTGTATGCTTCATCGTTGCTACATCGCACCCTGACTGGCTAGTCTCCTCCCCGAGACCCTTTTGTAAGTGGAGGTCCAGTGGCCTACAAATGGGCTTTGGGTTTCATTCTACACCCCCCCCACCCCCCCCACGCACACACATACACTCCTTCACAATGATGATTTTCTGTTCTGATGATGCCTGATACCTGATCCCTTGGACACCTTGTGATGGCACAGGCTAGTGTGCTTCCATGTGGTATTTGTTGCTTCTGAGTTAGATGGCCGCTTGTTCACCTTCAAGCCTTTAAGGCCCCAGACGCTATATTTTTTTGATAGCGGGCACCATCAGCTTTCTTTGCCCCATTTGCTTATGCACCCATTTGTCTTCAGCGACTGTATCAGAGAGGTGGGTGCGCAACGATAGGATTTTTTGTTGGATGCCTGATAACTGATCCCTTCGACACCTGGTGATCACGCAGGCTGGTGTGCTTCTTCCATGTGGGCTTTATTGCTTCTGAGCTAGATGGCCGCTTGTTGACCTTCAAGCTTTTAAAACCTCAGATGCTATATCTTGATAGCTGGGCACTATCATCTTCACCACATTTGCTTATGCACCTGCTTTGTCTTCAGCGATTGTGTTGGGAAGGTGAGCATTATGGAATGCCTGTTTAATAGAGCAAAGTATTCTTGCATTGAGGCTGTACTTGAGTGGAGATCCAATGTCCATCTGCTACATTAATACTAAACCTATAAATATATGCACACAGATCCATTTCTACATCCTCATATATAAATATATTTACATATGTACATGTCTTTATTTACACCTCTATAGATACCCTTTGCCTCCTAGCTCCTCTATTTCCTTTGACTTTCCTGTTGTCCCACTATCATGCTCAGTCTTCATTTGGGTTTCAGTAATTCCTCTTGGTTACATTACGCTTGATCATGCCCTACCAGGCCTCCTACACCCTCTTCACCGATTTGGATTAGTTGTTGTTCCCTTGTCCCTGGGTTTGTTAATACCATTTCCTTTCCCCCTACCTCCCCCTCTCCCATGTACCCCCGAACTGTCGTTCCCTTTGTATTCTCCTCCAGATTGTTTATACAGCCTATCTTATTTAGACAGACCTGTGGAGATAATAACATGCACAAAAACAATTCGGAGCTAAACCAAACAACAATGTACAACAAAACAACAACAAACCAATGACAAAAAAACAAGAAAAGCTTGTCATTAGTTAAAGGACGGTTTGCTGGCCTTTAAGAGTGTTTTCCAGTCCAGTCTGTTGGGGCACCA